TGGCTGCGGGCTGAGGCGGGAGGAGGAGGAAATAGGGAGCCAGCCTGACTCTTGGGAAGGGTAGGTATGGCCCTGGGATGGAGAGAGCTGGTTGGATCGGTCCCGCTGTGCGTCTGTGCAGGGCACGCCCCACAAAGTTTGGGATCTATTTGTCAGAAGATGAAATTAAACCTCGGCTAAGTGCGAAGTGCTTACCCTAAGCCAAGAACACGGAGACAGTCTCACCAAGGGATGAAACGCTTACCAGAGTGGTCGGCATTGTGCAAGGGCTTTACGTGTTACTCACCTGCTGCCACCGACAGTCTTGTGAAACGGAGATCATTACCTGGTCCCGAGTTTACGGGGGGTGGGGTGGGGGGGGTGGGGAACTGAGCACAGATTAACTTGCCCACAGAACACACAGCTGAAAAGTGACAAGAGTGGCCAGTTTGATTCCAAAATTCAGTGCTGGCCATACGACGCTTGAAGTCATGAATAGGTGAAAATTAGATATTAAAGACCTCCGAGCTTGTAGTAAACCGTTGGGTTTGGACGTCAAGAGGTATATAGGTAGGGCAGCAGAAGTTGGATAGGCGTCAAGGAAAAAAAAACAAAACACCAAACTCACTGCCATCGAGTTGATTCCGACTCACAGCGACCCCCTTTCGGTTTTCAAGGCAGTAAATCTTGACTGAAGCAGATTGCCCCTTCCTCCCCCGAGTGGCTGGTGGGTTTGTATCGCCAGCCTTCTGGTTAGCAGTCAAATGCCTTAGGCACTGCGCCACCAGAGCTCTTTGGTGTAAAGGAAAGGGGGCTCTAAATAGCTTTTGAATGAGATTTGGCAAGAGGGATGGCACTATGAGCAAGGGAAAGGGAAATCATAGGCTTGGAGGTGAGACAGGAAACCCGAGAAGAAAGGGAGAGGAATGCCTCAACTGGAGCCTTGTGTTTATGTTGGCTTGCAAATAGAACCATCTGTAATCCTAGGGACGGGCTTGTCTCCAAAGCAATGGACTACCTTCTCTGTGCTTAGGTTTATGCTGCGACGCATAGTGACACTGTACGTCTGTGACCAAGTAAGAGAATGCATTCCGATGACTCATTTAAGAGGTGGAAATTTTGGTACCAGAGAAAAGATATGAGGTAGAGGATTTATTCCTTGATCCTGATTTGTCTGAGAGAGGTCCTTTCAGTACTTACCATGCTCCAGTGCTGAGAAGAATAAACACTTAACTCCAAGTCCAGTGCCCTCTCTGGGCCAGCACTCTTCTTTTCTTTAAAATAATAAAATCTCTATATGTGTATATCATCTTAAAGAAGCTTGACCCCAGTATGTTGTTGATTTGCTCATAGTTTTATATTACTATTATTTCTATAATGTATCTTGCCCTAGGGAGCCTGGGTGGTACAGTGGTTAGAGCATTCTGCTGCTAACCAAAAGGTTGGCAATTAGAACCCACCAGCTGCCTGTGGGAGAAAGATGAGGCCCTCGGCTTCAGTAAAGATTTATAGCCTTGGGACCCTAAGGGACAGTACTACTCTATCCTTTATGGTTGCTATGTGTTGGAATGGACTGGATGGCAGTGGGCTAGCTTGCACCATCTAATTTAGCAACTGATAAACTGCTACCTTATTTTACCCTTTAATTGTCTAACGGGTGGAAGGAGCTCTGGTGGGGCAGTGCCTGAGGCATTTGACTGCTACCTAGAAGGTTTGGGGTTCAAACTCATGAGCCACTCCATGGAAGGGAGACAGGGCAATCTACTTCCTTAAAGATTTACTGCCTGGAAAACCCAATGGGGTCACTTTGAGTCGGAACCAACTTGATGGCAGTGGGTTTGTTTTTTTGGCTTAAGCAAGATTTTAAGATTCCCTAGGCAAAGTCTGTTCTATCTCATTGTCTTGATTACTGAAACTGACTTTCTCAAGTTTGTCATTCAGTGTAAAAGCCCCCGTATCCAGCACCCTACCTGGCACATAGTAAAAACTCAATAAATAGTGAATGAACAAAATTAAAGGAACTCAATAAACAGTGAATGAATGAAATTAAATTATGTCTTCTGGAAGCAGGAAGCAAGCCTGTTGTTTTCTCTTGGTCCCGCTAGTGGTATTATTTTCCTGTGGTGGGCATTCAGTGAACATTGGTTGATTGCTGTGTCTTTCAGCAGGGGATATTTAATCTCCCTGTTGCATTAGAAAGAATTACCACCTAAGCACCGTGTTTCCAAGAAGTAGGCCAAGAAATAATGTTGATAGATTGATTGACCTCAAAGAAATTCTTGACTCTTTTCTAAAGTGTCCATCTTCCTGTCCATAATGAATGATATTCATGGTTATCTTGGCCAGGTTGTGCCTAAGACATTCTTCGGGAGACTGTAATTTGAGCGTCTTCTTGAGTTGAGAAACTAATAAAAAACAAAATTGAAATAATACCAACCCAAGAACACAAACCCAGTAGCAAGCAGGATCTTTATACCTAAGAACCCTATCTGTAAATCTTAAGAACTTTGTGCCCTTGAGAGAGAATGTTTGTATGTGTTTGCATGCTTTTACATGGTCTTAAATTTGTAATAAAATTACATCCTTTTTTAATTGAAGGGAGGTGGCTTGAAATATGTGTTGGTCATTAGTTTGGATGAGAAAGATCCCAGTTCTTTTTTCTTCAAACGAATTTTGCCCTGCCTGAGCAGGTTCTAGAATAAAAAGGAGATCTGGGTGCAAAGAATTATGCTTCATTCGCAAGTAGGGGAAGCCACGTCAAGTCTGCCCAGCATTCTTCTGGCAATCTGTTAATTTCACATCAAAGAGTCCTGAAGTCTCAGGTGGGTGGAAGTGATAAATTCAGAGCGTATGGACACAGGAAGGCCAGAAGCTAGTGCAAAGCATCCGAAATATTCCCATTCAGTGATTGTCAAATCTGTCACTGTTCTTATTTATTAGCTGTGGAATCTTGAGGGCAAGCTAATTAATATTTCTGGGCCTCAGTTTCCTCATTGTAAAATGAGGATGATAATGATAACTTTTAGAGTTACAAAATCTAAATATGTAAAGAGTTTATAACAGAGCTTGGGACAAAGTAAGGGTAAAGTGTTTGACAAGTAAACAAAACGCTACGCTGTACTAATTTCCACTTCCACTCAGCCAGCTACTTGTAAGCCTCACCTACATAGAAATTCTGGAGACGTCACTGCTTCCCATTCAATTATTTTTGCAGCCATGTAAATAGCTATAAGTCGCCCAAACGATTTGGGATGGACATACTCTTCCCACAACGGTCTCGTCCCGCAACTAATCGCAGTGGGAGAGTGATTTTGGGGAGGGGATATATCTTCCTTCCTCCCCACCCCCTTCCCCATCCTCTGCTACAACACCAAAGGCCACCCCACGCGCTCACGCCCATTCGGGAACGCCCCTGGGGTGACGTGGGGGAGGTGGGGGCCAGGGGCGCCGCGCACGCGTAGTGCAGCAACGTCGCGCCTGCGCTTTGGAGTGGCTGAAGGAGGCGGGGGATTGGTATGCGAGCCAGTGTGTGAAGGGAGGGAGGTGTCGGGGCCGAGCGTGGTACTACGACAAGCGCGGGCCGGAGGGGGCGGGGGATGCGCCGCGGCGGCGGGCGGCGCGGGCGCTGGACTGCTGTTTGGTGGCGCCAGAGCAGCGGATCCCGGTTTCACCGCGGCAGTAGCACGGCTGTCGCGCGCGGCCTGAAGACGCGTACCTTTCTGCCTCCCACCTCTTTTTTTTTTTTTTTTTAAATAACCAGAACCAATGAACGCAGTGAGGACCCGAGCTCCGGAGGCCGCTGGTGGTGAGGGGATGAGGTTGGCGCCCGGCCGGAGCCCGCGTCTGAGGCGGCGGGGGCGGTCCGCGGAATCGCCGGCAGCGGCTGCGGCGACGCTACGCGGAGCGGTCGAGGGGTCGACGGCCGGGGCGCCGCCGAGCTTTGTCCCCGCTTCCCCTCTGCACCCTCATCCCGCCGCGACGCCGGGCCTGGCCTCCGGCTGGCTGCGGCGGCGGCGCTGGGCTGCGCTGCTGGTGCTTGGGCTGCTGGTGGCGGGAGCGGCGGACGGATGCGAACTGGTGCCGAGGCACCTCCGCGGGCGGCGGGCAGCAGGCGCTGCCGGGGCCACCGCCGCCTCTCCCACGGCGGCGGCGGGCGTTAGCCCGGCGCTCATGACAGGTGAGGCCCCGGGGGCGGCAGGCGGGGCTCGACTGGTCGCTACGGGACCCCCAGCCGGGTCGACTGCCCCAGCCAGTGCGCGTTGCCAAACTTGGCGCTAAGATGCCGGCGCCCTGTTGCGGTCCCCTTTGCTTGGGGCGCCTTCCCTTTTCACCTCGACACCCGTTCTGGTCCGAGCCTCTGCAACACTCATTTTTCCACGCCCGTCAGCCGGTATTCCCGGCTGAGCAATGCGGCGGTTTCCCTTCCCTGCTGCGGAAGAGCCAGCAGGGTCTGCAGGGTACTGGGCTGATTTTTTTTTTTTTGAAGCTCATAGAAAAAGTGTAGCAGCAATGCGGTATTGAGTCGGCGTCTGGTGCTGCTCTTGCAAAGGCAGCTGGCAGAGTCTCACCGATCCAGTGCCCTGCTGATCAAAACGTCCCAGGGGAGGCTGCTTAGAGAGGATTCTTTGAGAGCCAGAATACAGTGGTATTAGTGCTTTCCTGTCAGTATGCGGAAACCTCTGAGTCTAATCTGTATTTTTTGAGGGGCGGCAGTCCAGCTGCTTTAAAGGATGGGAACTCTGCTGTTGGGAGCATCCCTGGGTGACAAAGGGTGCAGAACGCAGCAGGTAGCTAGAAATATACATAACATTTAACGTGCAGGATATTCAGGGCTTGTGTTTCAGCAGCACAGTTCTGATGGACTGCACAGCACCTACTTTAACATAGAGAGTTCTCGAAAGAATTGAAAACTTGGAAACATGTTTGGTAAGGTTAAGTAGAAAATTGGATCCTTTGAATGCCTTTCATTGTCTTGTACAACTGATCAATTGTGGTGTAAGTAATGCAGTAAGAATCCTGGGGGGATTTCTTTTGGAAATGTAGTGGAACTGAGTAATATTCAGTTTTCTAGGTGCTTTATTTTAAAAGCAGATCTGTAGGTTCTTACAGCAGTTGCAGGATTTGCAATAAATAAAGCAGAAACAAGATGAAAACCCGTTAACTCCTTGCCCTCCGGTCGATTCTGACAATACAAGATGACCCTATCATTAATTTATCCAAAGTGATAGTCCAACAGGCGTCTGAGAGTTACTAACAGCTGCTCTGAGAAGCTCAGGAGCTGTATTCTTCAGAGCAAAGCAGCTATGTCTCTGGGTTTTATGACAGGATGTTTACTGTTCTAGAAAGAAGAAGGATGTTGGTAAACTTTGTTAAGCACTTTAGAAGTTGGAATGTATAGAACATAATGATCAAGAGTATTTCACTTGCTTCACCCTGAAGCATATCCAAGCCCTTTTAAATGAAATTTTAAACGTATCACTGGGTAATTTGCAAACTGTGATTACAGAATATTCAGTCTTAGGGTATTGTATTGTTTGAGTGAGAGGATAGGTTGGATACTTTTTATTAAGTGGCAAATAATGTGAAAAATAGTGATTATCAGGAAAGTAGCTAAGAAAATAGACTAAAATGTTTAAGGTCTGATGGAGGAAGGGAGGGAGCAGAAAAGTGTTGAGGCTTCTAGAATCTACAGGAGTGTGGCTCCTGGTTTCTTGAGCAGACATTTGACTGAAAATGAGTTGGCTAATGCTTTATCAGAATGTAATTGATAGAAGGACATGTGATTCAGGAAATTTGGTATTTAGATCACTAGCTTTATATTGTATGGTGTGTAGATTATATCAAGAAAATTACTTTCAGATGGGATTTTAATAAACTACTTCTAATCTGTTCTTTTGAAGACTTAAATTTTTCTGTAGTTATTTATGATATGGTGAAAAAGGGCCGTTTTTATAGGGAGGAAAAAGTCTGATAACATAAAAAGAGTTGGTGTCATAGTGATTGTAGATAAGGTTACAGAAACAGTACCAACCCTGGAGTTTATTTCTAATGCTCTTATTCTTTTCTTTTGCTAGAATATTTTTTAACAAGTTAAAGATTTTCCATTTAAAATTTATGATGCTAAAACTACACGATGTGAAAGTTAAATTTTGGCCATTTAAATGAGTTTATGTAAATATAGTATAGCACTGGTAACTCAAGGAAGGTAAAAGAACATACTGAAAATTTCTTTGAACTCTGTGGCTTCTCCAGGGCTCCTCTCCATTCTTTTGATTGTATAAATAATGCTTTCTTTTATGATTTCCATTTGCAAATATTGTGCTACGCTAGAACATAATTTATTACTGCAGTTGTAAACTGCAGGAAGTAGAACCATAGATTGAACTTAAAAAATACTGCGCTGTCATATTCTAGGCAGTGTTACAAGATAGAAATGGAGCATCACATCAGTAATAAGAGAATTGAACTTCATGGACACGTGAAAAATTGATAAATTTTGAAAGAATTCTGAGAGAATAATTGTTCATTCTGACTCCCAGTTAGAGTTGTCATTTAACTATGTGTATTCTTAATAGCTCTGTAACATGACAGCCAAAAGCACTTTATCTCCTTTCCTCTCTAGATTGATATTTTTAATACTTACCTTTAGAAACTTCTTAAGAGTTTGCCTTTCATTAACAAAATGTAGAAAATAGTCTTGTCCAGTGATAAGTGCCTCCCAAGGAGTTTACTTTAGGAGTTTAACATTTTTTTAAGAATAAATTGCCTTTAAATCATCTATCATATACTTAGTTTTGAGCAGGCAAGTGTTTTTATGACAGACTAGCACAAGTCATCAAAATAAACCATTGTCATAATGAATATCAATTTATGTTTTCTTGTCCTTTTTTTCAGATTACCTTTTCTGAATAGTGTGCATTTGTTTTTGATAAGGTCAACCAATATTTATAATGCTTTGTAGTAACAGTTTTTTTTTTTTTTTTAACATTTTACTGTGATTTGGGTGAAAGTTTACAGAGCAAATTCATCTTCCATACAGCAGTTCACATACACTTTGTCTTATGACATTGACTGCCATTTCCCACAATTCAACAGTTCCTTCCCACTTCCTTCCTGTAGCCACCTCTTCCCTCTATCCTTCCCTCCCATGCACTCCTGCTGCCCGAGCTGTCTCCCTGTGCATACACAGCCCTTCTGTCCTCTCATGATTGATCTCTCCAAGGAGTGTATCAACCTAATGTAAATGTTCAGCTCATATGCCTGTCTTTTGTTTGTCTGGAAGCCGCAGGGGTGGGTTTAATTCTGGATGTGAAGGGCAGCAAGAGGCCCATAGTCTCAAGGGTTCCACCAGGCTCTATCTGACCAGCAAACCTGGTCCCTTTTTTTTTTTTTTAAATGATTTTGAGTTTTGTTCCACATTGTTCTCCCACTCTATTCAGGATCTCCTGCAGGGATCCTCCTCTGAATGGTTGACCATGGTAGCTGGGTGTATAGTACAGTTTTAAATTATATGTACTTTAGGGCTCTTGGAAAGATGTTGGAATTTCAAGCCAGTTAGGTGTTGGTTACCAGGAGCTTCCTGATGCTATTCAAAGTAGTGCTTTCAGAATTCAAAATATTACTTTTTTTTTTTTTTTTAAATTTTTTCTTGTCTAACAGGTTTAGAATCTGTTAGTTGGTAGCTTTTGGGAGCCAGTGATCTCATCCAGATGTAGTCCCTGAGAAATAGTTTCCGAAAGGGCATCACCATGTATGTATATGTAAGTAGAATTACTATTGGAATATAATTCTTTATTCTGGGAAATATACAGAATAATTGAAACCTTTAATAATTTTTATATGCAGTTTAATTTTTTCAGAACTTTTAAAAACAAATAACATTGCAAATACTTTCTTTTGTCCTTTTTTATGAACTAAAGTAACATTCTGTGGTTATTTAAAGGTTTTATCTTAACTGTAATACCATTTCATTAATTTGGTGTGTCTTAGAAACATAAAATTTGTATTTTTGAATGTCTTTTGGAAGTATTAAGATGTCAGTGAATACTTAAAATTAGTTTCAAAATATGATACCACATAGAAGGGCCACTTTACACAGTAGCATTAAAAGCACCTGTGCCATAGTGCTTTCATGAATGGATATGAAATGATTGGCATTGGAAAAATTTGAAGTCTCAATTTTCAGTATCTCACTTTGCATCTGGAACATTTACCCCGTAAATGTAGTCATCTTTTAATTTTTTTATTATATATTTTATTATGTAGAAGTTGGTATGAATGTAGTGTGTTGGTTGGTGTGAGACACATTTTTTGAGTGACTTTATTGTGTTAAATTTTACATTGTGACAATAAACTCATTATGTAGTTCTCATGGTACTGGAAGCCTTTGTTCCTCTTGGTGAAAATGCTCTTTTGGAACTTAGTTTATGTTTTCTGGAAGCCGTCTTTTAATGGTTAGGTCTTCTGTAACCTCTTATTCTTTTCTCGTAGTTATCATTGCCACTCCTTTTCTTCACTAGTATTTGACCATTGCTATATAGTAGTTGTATTGCTGTGGCCAGCTACAGGATTGGAGAAAGACACTGCTTGTATCTATCTTAATATAGCCTATTCTGAACATTTAAGGATTAACGATTATTTTATTGGTCTGGAAACATTACATCCTTTGGTAGTCTTCGTGGGAATACAGTAAGTAGCAGAACTGATTGGTCTCTGTTATGTCTCTTTCATGGCATAGGAATAACTCAGAAGGCCAGTTGGAGAATTTAGCTTAATTTTATGCAGTTAAGAGGATTCACATCAAGGACTTTTAATTTGCTACAGATTGGCTTTGTGACTGGATAAATACAAGTATTTTTAGATTACTTTAAATTTGTCTTTCGAATAACTCTGTCAAACATTTTGGATATCATCCTACTCATTGATAATAATGAAGTGTGGAATGCTTTCAAAATGATGCTCAGAGACCTGTCTTTATGTATATGATTGTTGTTGTTGTTATGTGCCGTTGAGTCGGACCCGACTCATAGCGACCCCTACTTGGGTTGCCGAGGCAGTATCACTATGGAAGTAGATTGCCCAACCTTCTTTCCGAGGAGTGGCTGGTGGGTTTGAACCGCCAGCCTTCTGGTTAGCAGTCAAGTGCCTTAGGCACTATGCTACCAGAGCTCCCATGTA